GCCTGATTTTGGTATTAGAGTGATGCTGGTCTCATAGAATGAGTTTGGAAGTATTCCCTCTTCTACTTTTTGGAAAACTTTCAGGATGGGCATTAGGTCTTCACTAAATGTTTGATAAAATTCAGCAGTGCAGCCATCTGGTCCAGGGATTTTGTTCTTTGGTATTTTCCGATTACCAAATCAATTTCATTGCTGGTAATGGTCTGCTCAGATTTTCTGTTTCTTCCTGGGTCAGTCTCAGTAGGTTGTATTTTTCTAGCACATTGTCCATTTATTCTAGGTTATACAGTTCATTAGCATATAATTATTCATAGTATTCTCTAATAATACTTTGTATTTCTGTGGTGTCTGTTGTGATTTTCCTTTCACATTTCTGATTCTGTTTATGTGTGTAGATTCTTTACTCCTTAATAAGTCTCGCTAAGGGTTTATGTATTTTGTTTATTTTCTCAAAGAACCAGCTCCTGCTTTCATTGATTCTATTACTTTATTCTTCTCAATTTTATTTATTTCTGCTCTAATCTTTATTATGTCCCTCCTTCAACTGACTTGGGTCTCCTTTGTTCTTTTTCTAGGTTTATTAATGTGATTTTAGAGTGTTCATATGGGATTGTTCTTCTTTCCTGAGGCAGGCCTGTATTACAATATACTTCCCTCTCAGCACGGCCTTTGCTGCATGCCACAGATTTTCCGGTGTTGTATTGTTGTTGTCATTAGTCTCCATATATTGCTTGATCTCTTTTTTTTATTTGGTCATTGATCCACTGATTAAGCTTCCATGTGTTTATGGGCATTTTTTTTCTTTATGTAATTTACTTTAATTTTATACCTTTGTAGGCTAAGAAGCTGTTTGGAACAATTTCAATCCTTCTGAATTTTCTGAAACTCTTTTTGTGGCCTAGTATATGATCTATTCTTGAAAATGTTCCATGTGCACTTGAGAAGAATGTGTATCCTGCTGCTTTTGAGTGGAGTGTTCTATAAATGTCTGTTAGGTCCTTCTGTTCTAATGTTGTTCAGTGCCTCTGTGCCTTTACTTATTTTCGGTCTGGTTGATCTGTCCTATTGGAGTGGGTAGAGTGTTGAAGTCTCCTAAAATGAATGCATTGCATTCTATTTCCTCCTTTAATTCTGTTAGTATTTGTTTCACATATAAAGGTACTCCTGTGTTGGCTGCATAGATATTTCTAATGATCATATCCTCTTGTTGGACAGACCCTTTATCATTATGTAATGTCCTTCTTTGTCTCATGACTTTCTTTTTAAGTCTATTTTATCCGATACAAGTACTGGAACTTCTGCTTTTTTCTTCCTACTAGTTGAATAAAATATTTTTTCCATCCCTTCACTATCAGTCTGTTTATGTGTTTGGTTTGAATGAGTCTCTTGTAAGCAGCATATTGGTGATTCCTGTTTTTTTATCCATTCACTGACTATGTCTTTTAATTGGTACATTCAGACCATTTACATTTAGGGTAATTATCAATAGGTATGTACTTAGTGCCATCGTATGCCTTAGATTCGTAGTTACCAAAGGTACAAGGGTAACTTCTTTACTACCTTACAGTCTAACTTAACTCATAGTATGCTATTCCAAGCACAATCTAATGGCCATTTTCCCCTCCTTTTTCTTCTTCCTACATTTTTTATATATTAGGTGTCATATTCTGTATTCTTTGTCTATCCCTTGACTGACTTAGCAATTAATCGTTCTACTTTCATTCCTGTGGTTTTATTTCCTCTGGTGACAGCTAGTTAGCCTTAGGAACACATCCATCTATAGCAGTCCCTCCAAAATACAATGAAGAGATATTTTGTGGGAGTTAAATTCTCTCAGCTTTTGCTTATCTGGAAATTGTTTAATCCCTCCTTCAAATTTAATTGATAATCGTGCCAGGTAGGGTATTCTTGGTTCAAGGCCCTTCTGCTTCATTGCATTAAATATATCATTCCACCCCCTTCTGGCCTGTATGGTTTCTGTTGAGAAATCTTATGATAGCCTTATGGGTTTTCCTTTGTAGGTGATCATTTTTCTCTCTGTGGCTGCTTTTAATACTGTGTCCTTGTCTTTGAACTTTGCCATTATAATTATTATATGTCTTCGTGTTGTCTTCCTTGGGTTCCTTGTGTTGGGAGATCTATGCACCTCCTTGGCCTGAGAGACTATCTCCTTCCCCAGATTGGGAAAGTTTTCAGCAGTTAACTCCTCAAAGACATTTTCTATCCCCTTTTTCTCTCTCTTCTTCTTCTGGTATTCCTATAATGTGAATATTTTTCTGTTTAGATTGGTTGCACAGTTCTTTCAATGTTCTTTCGTTCCTAGAGATCCTTTTTTCTCTCTGTACCTCAGCTCCTTTGTATTCCTCTTCTCTAATTTGCATTCCATTTACTGTCTCCTCTACTATATCTAATCTGCTTTTAAATCCCTCCATTGTATGTTTCATTTCTGATAGTGTATTCCATAATGATTGAATCTCTGTCTGGAATTCTTTCCTGAGTTCTTGAATATTTTTCTGTACCTCCATGAGCATGTTTATGATTTTATTTTGAAATCTCCTTCAGGAAGATTGATGAGTTCAGTTTGACTTGACCCTTTTTCTGGTGTTTGTGGTATTTTGGTTTGAACTAGTTTCTTAGACATTTCATATTTGTATGTGGCACCCTCTAGTGCCCAGAAGTTCTACTCTTTGGAGCTGCTCAGCCCCTGGAATGATGTCAGGGGTTGCGTGGGAGTGTCGCTGGTGCCTGGGTGGAGGAAAGAGCTATTTGCTGCTTCCCTGCTGCTAGGCTTGCCTCCACTGCCTGAATCAGTGTGCTGAGTACAGAGGTATAAGCTTCTATGCTTTGGGTTTGTAGGTGCCATAGGCAGAGCTTCCGTCTGGCTGGCCTGATGGCAGGGACCGCTGGTTTGCAAGCCGGTGCCGGCAGGCCAGGAGGAAGGCACAGCGGGTTGCGTATCATGGTGGGGGTCCTCGTAAGCTGAGTAGTCAGCCAGCAGAATGGAGCATCTGAAGCTCCTGAAAGTTTCCAACCTGCTGGGCTGAGTGTGCCTGGATAATTTTGTCCACCTATCCTTTTTCCTGAGCAGCAAGCCCTGTGCAATCCTTGCCGCTATAGCAGCCCGCTTGCTGTTAGGAAGTATCTCACACTGTCCACCTTTCTTTTGTCCCAGAGCAGCCATACATGGATCCCTGTTTTTCACAAATGGTTGGAATCTCATTCTCTCCAGGTATTCTGGGAGTCTTAGCTTTCCAACCCCACTAATCTCCAGAGCACCATGCAATGTAGGTTCATGCTCCCAGAGTAGATCTCCAGGGCTGGGTGTTCAGCAGTACTAGGCCTCCACTCCCTCCCCTTTCCATTTCTCTTTCTCCCACTGGTGAGCTGGGGTGGAGGAAGGGCTTGGGTCCCACCAGATCACAGCTTTGGTACATTACCCTGATCCGTGAGGTCTGTTCTCTTCTCCAGGTTTATGCAGTCTAGTGCAGTCTTTCTTGTTGCTCTTTCAGGGTTAGTTTTGTTAATTATATTTTCTTATTATTTGTGGTTTTGGGAGGAGGTCTCTGTCTCACTTCTACTCTATCTCCAAACTCACATACAAATGCCTATTCAATATATCTGCTCTGTATCAAATTTCAAGCTGTAATGCCCCAAACTGAACTACTTATCTCAACTACCTGACATAAAACCTGTTCCCCTGTTTTTTCCATCATAGCAAAGGGCAATTCCATCTTCCCAGTTATGGCCAAAAAACCTTAGTTATCTTCAACTTATATCTCTCTGACATGCCACATCAGATTCATCAGCAAATTCTGTAGACATCATCTTCACTTAGCTTACCATCATTTCTCATGACCTCAATAGCCAGAACACTGGTCCAACTCATCATCATCTCTCCCTGGTATTACAATTCCCCCCCTTAGGAGTATCCCTGCTTTCATATTTGTATCTGTATAGTTAATACAAGGATTTGCAAACTATGGCTCATGGGCCAAATTCAGTCTGTTTTTACAAACCTTCAAGTTAAGAAATAGTTGTTTAAATAGTTTTTTAAATGGCTAAAAAATACTATTTCATTACATGTGAAAATGGTATGAAATTCAAATTTTAGTTTTCATAAAGTTTTATTGAACTACATCCATACTTCTTACTTTATATATCATCTATGGATACTGTCATAGTACCACAGCAAAGCTTCAGTTGAGACAGTCCAGAGGGGAGCCTGCAAAGTCTAGCACTACAGAAAAGGCTTGCCAACACTGGCCTACACAAACACTACACCCATTAGATCACAATAACCCTCTATTCAAACTCTTCAATTCCTTCCATCTTATTCACTGTGAAGGCTGACATCTTTATACTCTATAAACCCGCAGAAGACATGAAAATCCTACTGCCTACAAACCCTTTCTCCTGCTATGCTCCCCTGTGCTCAGTCAGCCCTAGCTGTATGTTCTTCTGTTCCTTGAACATATGAAGCAAAGTCCCATGTTCCGTGTGATATTGTTCCCTCACTTCCCTCTGATATTGGCCTAAATTTCTACTTACTAGTGAGGCCTTTCTTGACCAACAGCTCCTTCTCCCTACTACCACTCCTTAGTTCCCTTCTCTGCATATCTTTTTCCAACTGACATGTTATATGTTGTTTATTTTTCACTGTGTGTTTTCTCTTCTAAAATATAAGCTCCATTAGGACACCTTTTATGGGTTTTTTTTTTCATTACCTATCTTATTTTTTTCTAAGCCTATAATAATGCTGGACATTAATATGCACTCAGATATTTGCTGTATGATTAATTTTTAAAAATACCTGAAATAATTGACTTTTTCCCTACAAATTAGTTTTAATAAGAAATCAATATAAAAATCATCAAGTCTCTAAAAGACATCCATAATCATCGAGTCCCAGAATAAAGTTAGAGTACTAGCATTATCACCGTAGATTCTGAGTATTTATTTCAGAAAGTACAATCAAGATTTTGTTACAAGGTAAATCCTACCTGCAATAGTAATACAAAGTGTTTACTTGCAAAATCCTGATTCTGTAGTCCACAGCATCCCAAGCATAAAACAGCCAAATTTCTTACTACAGGATGAACAGTTACTATTCCAGGGAGAATCTAAAATGAATTAGAAAATAATTTTGACTAGGACAAGAAATTTGTAATAGTATATTTTAAAAAGCATGGTCAAAATGATAATTTCTGTATGATTTCATTGATCTACTTCATTTCCATATTGTCTATTAACACAGAAATCAATTTTCAGTTTTTTTTAAAAATAAGGTAAATTAAATTGCTAAAACTGAAGAATACAGCCAGAGTGAAATATAGTCCGATCAAGAGACACCCTCCTCCACTTGCTGAAATTCACTCAATGGCTTCCCAATGCTCATAGCAAAGATAAAACTCCGTAATGTGACATATACCCTATTGCGTATTCTTTCTTAGCATTATCTTATACCGTGCTACCCCTTGCTCTTTGTTTATTCAATTGCTCTGATTTCAATGCCTTCCATTCAGAGCTGCTCAATACAAGCTATGTTATGTCATTATAAATTTTCTAGTAGCAACATTAAAGGAAAAAAAAGGTAAAACTAATTTTAATATATTTTACCCAATATAACCAAAATATTACCATTGCAATATAAAATCAACATTAAAAAACTTGGGATAATTTATATTGTTTGTACTAAAAACTTCAAAAAACAATGTACTTTTAGATTTATAGCACATTTCAGTTTGGACTAGTCTTTAATTTTTAAATGACAGGTTTTTAATAACCACATGTAGCTGGTGGGAACTGTATTAGAAAGAGCAGGTCTGCAACATTCATCCATCCTTTTTTCATATAGTTAATATTCAAACATCAGAACAAGGTTACCTTCCATGAACAGAATCCCACTATAAGTTCACATGTGACCATATAGCTCTTCACAGCAATAACCAGTGGCATAAGCTTCAACATGTTTGACTGATGTCCTTGTCACTTGACTAGAAGATCCATGAGGGCAATCTATGTGTTTTGTACACAATGTACACTCTATCCCCAACATTTGGTATATAGTAGATGTTCAATAAATATTTGTTCAACTAATAATTATTTTTATTTAAAGCATAATTTCTTAATATATAACTTTATCTAAATACCTTATATACATCCCTCTATAGTCTTTTTCAGTCTTTGGACACAGGTTGTTTTATACAGTGAAATCATTGTGACCACTCATTTCTGTGTTTTCTTTAATCAACACTGTATATCTTCTTCTACATATGCACATTCTTCATATATACTATTTCTATTGTATAGCTAATTGTACCATAATTTACCATTCTCTTGCAATAGGACCAGACATAAACTATAAAAGTAATACTTTAAAAGTATCACTTTTCATTAAATACGTTTCACTAAAAACAAAATGAAATTCTAATGGTTTAATAGACTATACTTCAAAAGAAGTTCTAGACTGTTAGAAAACAAGGAATTATATTTAGATCACATTCATTGGCTGTTTTCACTATTTCCAAGTAAAAAAAATTTTGGGAGAATACTGGAAAAGCTTGAATACATTCAAAACTTGCTGTGGGTGTGTAGCATTATTAAAAACAAAACTCTAGAGTTGAACTACCTAATATTGTAGTCCAGATAGAGATGTACTTTAAGACTTAGAATGAAGAACAATGAAAAATATCTCAATAGCTTTAATATTGAGTAAATGATGAAATTATAATATTTGGGGTATACCAAGTTAAGTATATTAAAGTAAATTTCATCTGTTTAACTTTTTAAATGTGGCTACTAGAAAATTAAAGTTAAATATGGTTTGCATTATGTTTCTATCAAACCATATTGTTCTAGAGTCTTGCAGTATTTAAGTCCCTATGGTCAGTAAAACAGAGACTAACTATGAAGGGTAAAAAGCCCTTAAATATATAGGAATAAACCAATTCCTTTCACAGGGCTCACAATGTAACCTTCTTATTGTTTATACAACAGCAAGATAACAGTACTTAAATATTGCTGATATGTTTCAGTATTTCCTGTTATATTCAAAGAATGAAGATATTCTGCATCTCTGTCCAGCACAGAATAATTTAAAAATTTTTTAAAGGAGTAATTATAACTTACACACCAGACAGGCCCTTTACATGCATTATCTTAACATAATCTTCATAATATGAAGCAACCACTCTATTATTATTATTGTTTACCATTTATATGTATTGGATGTGTAAGATATATATGTAAAAGATGTGCCATCTTTTATTCTTTTGAAGCCCAAGTAACATATAAAATGAGGAAAGAGTGGGCTAAAAATAAAGCCTCAAAGGCCAAAAACATACCAAAGATTCAATGATCCCATTCATGGTTGCACTTATACCTGTTGAAGTGGACATCTGCTTCAACAGTTCATAGCACAAAATAAGACACTTCTGTAGTGTTTCAGCATCGTTCTAAAATGAAACACAAAATATCGTGCATTAATAAGAATATCTTCTGCCCATCCCTTTAATGTTTCCTTTCTCAGAGCTTTGTCTAAGGCACATTGCCTTTATATACATGCCCTGGCCAATCTTATCTAGGTTACACAACTCCATTAACCATCTGTGAGCTAGTCTAGCTTTTTCTAAGTTTCAGATTCATATATACAACTGCTACAAGACATTTCCTCTGTATTATCCAGTTTCTCAAACTTAAAATGTCTAAAAGGGAATTAACTCATCATTACCCAAGTCCCTACTTCTCCTACGCTATCTCATAAATGCCACTGTCATCTATCTACCCAGCTGTCCAAACCAAAATATTTAGGATACATTCTTGGCTCACACTTCTCCCTGTTACTAAGCCCTCAATACTTCTCAAATCAATCACTTCTTTGTATATCCACCATCACTACCTTGTTAAGGCTGCAATCATCTCATTCTACATTGTAAAGTCTCCCAACTAGTGTGTCTGCATAGAATTTTATCACACTCCAATCCATTTCCTGAATAATGATGACCTTTCTAAGACATAAATCTCATGCTACCACTTAAGAGTTCTTAGTGATTCACCATGGTAAGGCACAAATTTTTAAATATTGTTTACACAAGGTCTTACATGACCAGGCCCTTAATCTTCCCCCAAGAGTTATCTCTTACTTCTCCCCCTAAAATTTCTAGTCACATGGACCTTAAATTTTAACCACAATTTCTTTAACTTCTGGGCCTTCATACATGTCATCTGACTATAGTATTCTCTTAACAATTCATCAAGCAGACAACACAGAGTGCATTAAAAGTACAAATCTAAGCCACTTGCCTGGGTTTGACTCCCGCCTCTACCATTTCCTATCTGTATGACTTGAAGTTACTTGCCCTCTATAAAATGGAGACTATAGTACCAACTCTGTGAAGTTATAGTGAGAATCAAATCAATACTTGTGAAATGCTTAAAACAGTAACTACCACAGAAAAAAGCGTTCTGTAACTGTTAGCTTTTATTATTTCATCAAATTTCAAGTTGAACTATCTCTTTCTCTGGGGAAGCCAACAATACCCTACCTAGGTTAAATGACTTTCTATTAAGCTTTTATACTTCCCTGACCATAGCATTTGTTATGCTATGCTGAAATTGAACTATCATAGATTTAAATCCTTAAATAGGACAAATGAACACATAAATGGTCAACGCAAGTCAAGTTAAACAGATATTAATGATAGACCACCTGTTAATATCTCCCGAATTCATACCTGCATTTTATATCATTTTACAGTTTATATTTTCATTTTTAACTTCAAATTCACTACAATAATCCACAGACTTTGTCAAACAGAAGAAATAAGCTACTAGTTATGAAAATAAAATTCAGGCATACTCACTGGGAAGGTGGGGTGTTGGTGTAGAGAGGTCTATGGCTAGACAGCTCAAGGACATGGCTTATGAAATATTCCTGTATGGTAAACTCTTATCTGGCACTCCCTTTATGAGAAAACTCTCATCAGCACTTCCGAAACCAAAAGTAAAATAATAGCTGATGTTGACTACAAAAGGCAAAATCCTGTAAGACCTCCTGAACTAAAGTTTATATCATATTGTATTGATATCATTCTATCTTATGTTAAAATTAGTTTATCATGTACTGTTCAGTTAAAATAAAAAAGACCACTAAAACTAAGCTTTAAATGTTGCTAGGTATATAAGTTTAGTATTTCATTTAAAATAACAAAACTACTTAGCTTTTTCTAAAAGCAAAAATTTATAGTACTTTTCTTTTATGTTTATAGTATTTTTCTAAAATCCAATGGTAACAGTATATACTGTTGAAAATCCCTCCAAAGTGAATATATTCTGGCAGCTTGATGAGTTATGAAAGAAAACAAGGTTTAGTTGATAGTAACAGCTCAAATTTAGTATGAAATAGTTATCTGTACCTTTTCTATGTGGACTTCTTTAATTTCAAGTTGCTCTGTCTCTTTCAATAGGCTTATTTTAGCATCTTCTAATGCTCTTATTTCTTCTTTTAATTTTGATGCTTGATTAAAATCCTGTAAGGTGATGCAATTTTCCAAGGCTTCTTTTGCCTCAATAAGTTTAACTTTTATTTCAGCCATCTAAGGGAAGATATAAACAGATGGCGTAAACACCAACAAAGAACTATTAATATGAAAATCTGTGGCAAATTAATGAGTATTATTTAACATCTCATGACCCAGAAGTTAAACGGTATCTGGCATAAACACAAAGGTAGTATTCTTCCTGAAACAGATTAGACCAGCAAATCTTTCAGACTGGTATAAGGTGGTAAATTTTAGATGCTCTAATAATCAATAATTTGATCTTGTTAGAACAATTTTGAAAATGTATAGCAAGAGAAAATAAAAGACTTGCACAACTACAATATACTCAAGCATTTCTTCAATTTAAGAGAGATTTACCTTGAGTTCTTTCTTTCTTGCAGCAGCTGGATCATGAACACCAACAGTAACAATAGGTGCCCGAATCTCTGATATAATTTCCGTAACCTTGTAAGTGAAGTTAAAATTCAGAGTACATGCTTTAATATATGTTTTATATAAGAGAATTGCATCAAACTGCTACCTAAAACTCCAAGTAGTATCCACAATTTCTCGAAAATACAGAGCAAAATATACAAGTAAAAATGGCACACATTTTATTTGCTAGACAATTTTAGAAAAAAATGAACAAATACATCTGACTGAAAACTCTAGGATTATGAGAAGGTAAATAGGCACAGAGACATTGAATATAAATTCTCTCTCATATAGTCCTTCAAAAACAGAATAAACAAATAGTCTAATCTCAGGTACCATAAAACTAAAATTCTCTGCCTAAAATCCTAAACTCTTTCCCTTGTTCAGCTCCATGGGAATTAAACGTAGAAAAATAGAATACTCTTATCCTTTCCTTTGGGTATGGAAGGGAAAACACAAGTTCCATGGCCAGGATCCTCACCTGGTACTCATTATACACGTACAATGATATAATACTTAGCCTACGGCGCAGGCACATACTTGTATATATAAAGAGCTCCGCCCAGTGCTAGAATGGAGGCCAAAGCAGAAGCAGAGAGCCTGGGGAGAACAGAGGGAAGCAGGAGAGAGAGAGAGCCTAGAGAAGAGAGCAGGAGAGAAGGGAGCAGAGGCTGAGCAGGGGCAGAGACTGAGGTGGACAAGAGCCCAGTGCTTGACCTAAATGAAAATGAAGCTTGGTATGAGCCCCTTTTTATCCCAATACTCCATTGTTGCTATTTGGTCTCACTGAATCCATAGTGAACTTGCCCTGAGCTGGGAAGCCTATCAGGCCCAGAGCTACACGTATACAATGCACAAATAATGGCAGCATAAAGAGTCCTTTCAGAGCCACTGGGACACTAGAGTTTGATTCAGGAAAAGGCTGCATCCCAAATGAAGGTACATAAGCAGATACTGGATAATGACTAACTGCGAATGTAGCTGAAGGGATTTATGTGTTAAGTATGTATGTATAAGGAGGGGTTGGAAAAGACAACCTTGAATTAACTTGCAAATCAAAGATTGTATAATTTTATGAAAAGCAATGATACAGGTCTGTCTTTTTGGTTATCCCAGAGAAAATAATATTTGGAAACAGTAATATTATAATAGATAACATTTATTTCTATATTTACCAAGCACTTTTTCAACATTACTTCATTGAGCAATTTAGAATAAGTTATTTTATTTTTTGCAGACTAGTAAAACGGCTAGATAACATACATAAAGTCAAAAAGCCAGAAAGTGTCAAAGGGGATTTGAACCCATGTATGTAGAACTTGAGCCTGCTCTCAAAAACTTCAGTAATCAGTGCCCCTGTGTCACCTCTTCCCTAACTTGCTCTATTTTATTGACTAAACAGAATGATAGGTATGCTAAGAGAAGGAAGGAGCATTTTTAAAAATGTGTCTGTGTGGTATGTGTGAAAGATTTGGTTTTAAGAAGTTAAAAAATTTGAGAGAGGAACAAAACTGAAACAAAAGGCACTTAAAAGCAAATAAACCAAAAAGTATTGAATAAAGTAGGACCTCAATGTCACTGACCAAAATCTTTTACCTGTATCAGCAATAAAGAAAATTACTTACAATTTGTGTTCTCTTGTTATCATCTATAAGGATGTGGAGCAGTCTCTCAACAAGAAAAGAAATTAGGGATACTGGAGTTGTCGGAAGAGTAAGAATTTCCTGTAAAATAGCCAGCAGTCGTTTCCTGCATTCAAAGAGAACTATTTCAATTTAAATACAATGGTAGAAACAGATTTTATCTCTAACAATTCACCTATTGTGCAGACTTTATTACATTTTTCTCAGTTTTAATAGTTTACCACTATAGATACAAAAATATATGTACAGACTTTAGGTCAAAAATTCATGTCCTGCAAAAACAGTAATTTTTTTTAAATGACCCTATAATCTTTCATAAATCAACATAATGAAATGACAAAATACCAGAAGTGACTCAAATCTTTTAGACAGATTACGAATGTGAAAATTAAGGAAAATCTGACATGTCATCAGGAGGCCAGCAGGGGGAGTTCTCACACCCCACCACTCCTCAATTGCAGACGCCACCAGAAGGAGACTCAGATTTCAGTTCACCACATTTTAAATACTTCTTTACTACCCCGCAGCAGGGAGGAAGGAAGGTTTTCCACCACCTTGGTAATAACAGCCTAGCCAGCCAATGAGAAGCCATGACGCTTGGAAACTGCCTCCCAAGTCCACCCTCTGCTCTATAAAGAGCTGTCCTGCTCTGTGTTCACCTATGGTTTTGCTATAGCTTGAATGTCTGGAACTGTAATTCTCTGATAATCCCAAATAAACCCAGTTTTGCTGGAAAAATAACTGACAGTTTTGTTTTTAAGGTTAACACTACTACCCCTCTGTATTAAATACAAATAATTTTTAAGCAAAAAAAAAGCACTTGCATTGATTCTTCTGAAGAAACTGAATTAGGAATTCACATATTTCCATAGAAAAAGTGAGCAAGAGCGAGCACATCCATGTTGCCTCTTACAGATGTAAGAAAAAAAAGAAAACCTTTTATAGCAGTTCAGAGTATTAGCGTAAGCATATTTAATCATGTTGTAACAAGACTATATTTCAATTCAGGAATTAGAAGAACAAAGTAAAACAAGGGCTAACATTTACACATACCTTCCTCCTTCTTCAGTGGTATCTAAAGACTTGATAATAAGAATCAATTGTTGACCTATGAACTCTTTGGTCATCACATTTCCAATATAGGAAAAATCACCTCTCTGTTCATCTTTAACAACTGGAATGCTCTGAATATAACTAAAACAAGCAGAATTAATAAATGTAAAATCTGTTAAGAAAGAAACAGCGCCTCATCAGGTCAGAAAGGATTTTTACAGTTCATATTAATCCAAATATATGAATGTTGATACAATCTTATAATTTGGTCTAGAGAGCAAATTCTGTTACTGTCATGAACTTTGCAAATATTTATTGGCTTGAATCAAAAGAATTTGGAAAATATATTTTCATTAGTTTCAAATTTCTTATGGAAAAATTTCAAAAGGTATACATTTATGTCTTTCAAATTGGTAACTATTTCAGTGTCACTGGTATTCTCAAAGTTCTGAATCCCTTTTCTAAAAATCCAATTACTCATAAAGAGCTTGTCTTCCCTCACCAGCCCTAATTAACCATTATTCTTTTGTTTAAAATAATAGTAATAACAAGTTATACAAGGAATCCATGAATACAATGGTCTTTTACAAATTTAGAAAACTATAGCTTTATGAATGTCTTATCCTTGCTTAAGGGCCCTACTAATCTCCATAAACAGGTACCATGAACTACCCTCTTTATACTTACTATCACTGCCCAATTAAAAGCTTTTTACAACTCTCACCTAGGTAACATCCAATAGCCTACCAGAAAGTCTCCCATTTTTGGGCAAAATAAAAAAAGCTCCTTAAAAGCAGAATTAAAATTTAAGCCTAGACAACTTGGTGCCTGAAGTTGAAAATAATATGAAAAACAACAACCCCGATGAAAAATGTCACTTTTAAAATGCCATCAAAAATCAAGTTACACAAATTGCCAAATTATGTATGATGAATAAACTGACACATAAAATGATAACCAAGAGTAAATAAAAGTTCATAAATCTGGCCAAGATATTAGATTAGGACCTTCAAGGGCATCAGTCACCCTTTGGGTTCTAGAAGGAAACTAAAGGAAAGCTATGAAAGTGCTAATTAATTAGCAAAATCAAAAGATCAGTAGAGTTACCGATGTATTCTGAATTTAGCCTGGATTCTGACAGACTAAAAAACCTTCACTCATCTTTGAATTCCCCCTCTACTTCCCCACTCCAGCTTTCATACAATGCATCCCATCAAGACTGGGGGTATTTTCTAAAAATAAATTCAAAGAGTAGTTGTTTCATTAATAGACTGTAAATCCTAAACTGCACAAATACAACTTAAAACAGACCCACCAATTTTAATCACCATGACATCATCTCTTTAACTATTTCTAAAGATTTTCATTATAATGAAAGAGACCACTCAAAAACCTTTTTTAAAAGCTCTCTCCAAGAAATCATACTTATAGTAGCCTTCTAAAAATTTATTGCTGCTCCTTTTTCTCACTGGAATTTGATAAGCCTTAGTATTCCTGATTTCTCTCTTTACATCAATACCTGTTACATGAACAACTCAGTTAACAGGAACTTTTATTTTTGTTTCATACCAGAGTTAAGTCACTGATTCTTCCTGCTTAAAATGCCTGAAAATATTTTATGAGATTATTAGGAAACAATTTTTCCATTTAATTTTGTTTCTGTACCTGAGCAAACTAATCCTATGTAGTGATGGTGCACCAAAAAGAAAATCATCCTATTGTTTAAGTATTCTTTCAATAATAATTAAAATATGTGTCATCTTTCTCTTTGTACCTGAAAAAACCAAACTAATTAAAGTTACTTATTTCAAATCTCAAAGATAAAGTGACAAAGGAAAGTTAAGTATCCTTGACCTCCTAGAGCCTAAGAAACCAACTTGCTCTTTAATGTCAATTTCGGTAACTAAGAATTAATCAATCTGTAAAGCGGTCCTTGAGAAGAGGCTCCCCCTCTGTTATTTAAATACTTAACACTTCCTCATATTTTCCTCCATATTCTCGATCGTCTGTAGCATTTATTACTTTTATATTAATATAATTATTAAGCATTTCATCAAACTCATTGCTTTTGGAAACATTTCAACATGGCCCAAACAGCATTATAATGAATTCCCTAATTAAATGTTAAAGTCTGAAATAATTACCCTTCAAACACTTAAATTCACACATATTTTTCATGATGTTACTATGAGCTCATGCTGTAAGTTTCCATATTGGCTCACATTTAAGATATTTATCCTGGACACAATATTTTGCATACAAAATTCAAACACATTCATAGCTTTGCTCCATAACTTATATGTGGGACCATTATAAGCAAAAGCAAAATACTGTATTTCATTCAAAGTGATAGAGCCCAGATAGGAGTACTGCCTTCTTGAATAAGCCCACCTGCCATCTCAGAGAGACCTAGATTTCATCTTACTTAGATGCATTTTCTGGAGGACACGTCAGCAAGTCACAAGCCCACCTTTTCCCTGACCTGTCCTCTCAAAAGCCTGCCCGAAAACCTGGCCACATACAGCCTCTTAGCCTGTAAGCGATGCCTTCTTCGTTCTGTTCACGAGAACAGTGAGGTTCCTCTCCGGTTTAGCATTAAACCTGCATGGACTCTTGAGTTTGCATCCCTTCCTTTCCTTTTACAAAGAGAATTCAGGATCATAATTTATATTATATGAAAGAAGCTTTTAAAAAATAGTATCAAAAGCATAAAGTTAAAAATCTCAACACCAATACCTATTAAAATATATACTACATTTGGCCTAGGAATCTCACTTCTGGAAACCAACCCCACAAAATCCCAAGCATATGTAAAAATGTACAAGGAAGCTTAATAGATCTTTATCAGTAAAAACTGGAAACACCCTAAATTCCATCATCAGGAGAATAATTAAATATTAACACTATACTAAGGGGATGAGAGCTATAGTTAAGACTGTGATAGATTTATATATACCAACATATAATGATCTCAGATATAAGTAACTGAAAATAAAACAGTATATATAGTGTTAATCAAAGTTTATGAATTTAATACATTTGCATATAAATTTAGAGAAAGAAGTTCAAAATTTTCACCCCAAATCATTTAGTTGTTAACTCTAAGGAGATCAATGGAATTGAGGAATTAGGAGATAAAAAAGGAATTCCACATTTTTATTCTTTACACATTTGTATTTCAATGTTGACAAGACTGCATCCATGCTTTGTGTATTTTAAAACAAGTAGAAATAAAGAAATTAATTTAAGAAAAAGGTATATATATTTAATTTTTAAAAAAACCAAGTAGTAACAGTTTTGATTAACATTAAAATTAGCCACAGTGATCCAACCTGTCAGTTGAAAATTTATAGACCATGCACCAGATACAGCCTGCTGCTTGTTTTTGCACAGCTTGCCAGCTAAGAATTTTACATTTCTAAAAAGTAGTTAAAACGTGTTTATAAATATATATACATGTGAATGTGGACATTACATTAAATTGAAATTTGAGTGTCCATAAAAGTCGATAAAAGTTTTATCAAAGAACAGTCACACTCATTCATTATGAATTGTCTTTGGCAGCATTTGCACTACCACAGAACATCTAAGTCATTGTAACAGAGCCCTAACAGAGATAGTACGTCCTGACAGACTAAAATATTTATTTTCTGGCACTTAAGAAAAAGTTGGCAACCAATTTCAAAGAGTTAACACATCATCATTATGAACTTCATGGAGAAATATTCATATTCACATCTTAACAGTGTTAAGGAAATGTCTCTAAACATACTGATTGCTCTTTCAAGATACTAACCAACAGTATATTTCTGCAGAAAGACTCAATGTGTATACCTATTTATCCTGCCTGTCCAAAATAAAGGATTTTAACTTATTCTCAATTAAGCATGACTTTGAAGAAGGGTGTTGGGAGGTTGACACACAGAGCAACACACAGTCCAAATCAAAGGAAAACAATTTTACCTCAGTAAATACTCTGCATAAACTACAGGCTCTGGCAAAATCTGCTCTAAAAATTCTTCACCATCATCTCCTTTTGATTTCAAATATTCACAAAGGACACGCCAATACAAAGCAATTTCAGGAGTTAATGTTTCCACTGGAATCAATTTCCTTTTAAAAGGTAAAGAATAAAAGAAAGTAAGACCTTAATATCAAGTTAAAATTTTGAACTGAGTAGAAACATGCAAATAAAAAGCAGACTTGATTTATAACCACTATCCTTCTAACTTACAAAGTCATTGACTTATCCAAACACACAAAAATGAAAAAACCTAGACCAAAAGAGAAAAAAAGTCAAATGAGCAAACATATAAAAGGAACACAAGTTTTTGGATGTTCCATCATAGGCTAATGCAAAAACCAAAGAAACTTGGGGGGAAAAAAGCACAGCTAGTTATCTATAAAGTAGTGAGTTCTTACAGAAGGGGGTGGGGGGGGGAAGACGACCACCAGAGTAAAGAAAACAAAAGAGGGCAGATAAAAGGTACTGAAACAATCTGAAGTAATGCAGGGAGAGGAATAATTTTAATTGCAAAAATTCATCAGTATCACATTTCAAATAATGAATATTTTATATACCTGCCATCATTATTTTTACAGATCTCTGCCAGTTTAGGAAGAGGAGTCACTAAAAATAAGGCATTGAGAACAGAGACCGCCACATCAGAAGAATTTTCCACATCCAAGCGATGAAGCAACTGTAATATATTCCCTTCAGTGAATCGTAACCAGCCTTGGAGAAGATGCTTCTTCATTGCTTGTTTCACAGTGTCTGTTAAGTCATTTGAAATATCCATGAACAGAGGCTCCCTCTAGTTTCCATTTCCCACCTTTTGTCTGTTTCAATTAACTTTTATCAGATCAATGCTAACAATGCTGGTATTTATGATAAAAAGTGAGAAGAGTAAGAAAGCACACTAAAGAAAAAAATAATACAGTGATGTTGCAGAAGTCCCTATGATGCTTACTTCCAGTAAAAATGGAAAAGGTCAGAATGAAATACCCAACTACCACAGCTTACAAAAAATACCTCTGCATTCCTTCTCCCCTGGGTTCACTGGGCTTCAGGTGTGAGTCCAGACTATATGATACCTATTATCTCACTTGTTGCCTGACTTCATCTAATACAAATGATTGCTATTTGAAGTAGTGAAACATACAAACATGTATAGCTGAACAAGCTTTATTCTTAGTTTTTAAGGTCACCTTAGTCATTAGTCTCCTGACAATGTTTTCAAACTCAGGTTTTCTTGCTACAGCAAAATTAAGCCACCTCAGCCTTCTCATAGGGATTGGAAATTTAAAAATACGTTATTCCTGTAAGCAGATTCTCTAGTTTTAACAGAGAGAAAAAGGAAAAATAAAAAAAACCTAGGAAAATTATACTGATATGACCATTCCTAATTGCTGCTTCTGATGCACAGAACACATTCATATCAAGATACATACAAAGGAGTTAGATGGCATTTTTTTTAGAGAGGGTTGAAAAGAGATCCTGCCCTACTTCTGAAGTAAATGAGCTCTATAGACTTAAGCTATAGTTTCTTCATCTGCAAAACAAGGGAAAATTGAAACAAACTCTTCCTTCTAAACACCAAAAGGAAATCTTTTCTATACAATACCCCCAAAATAAATTTTGACAGGCTGTGGGAATGATAGGCTTACTTAGGACACTTGCTTCCTAAACCTTTTAAGTCTGACCCCAAAATCTACTGATGTTTTTCATATAAAGACCTTACCTGATCTGTCATTTAGACCTTGTTGAAGAAGCGTTACTCTCTGGGCAATGGACATAGCTCTTATATGAACCTTCTCAGCTAAAACCTAAGAGGTAATGATAATGAGTTGGTCAGTAAACTCAAGATAGTTATATATTTCATAATTAATTCCTTCATCTATAAACACATTTAATGCAGTAAGATTCTACCTAAATTACCCATATTTCCCATCTGTAATAATGATTTCCTCAATTGAGATTTTTATGTTGTGGGTAAAATTTCAGCATTTCCAGAATCTCTCACCTGGCCTTACTGCATCTTCCTATCTACAGGCGTTTCCAAGGGGTGGAGAGAAGTAGTCCATCTCCATATCAGTAGATAATTTTACAAGGGGGAGTGAGAGCATATCTGAATGGAGAGGTCGGGTGGGGCCCCTTTTTTCTGTAGCCCGGTTGCCAGAGAAAAGGGTGAGGAGAGGTGGACTACTGCTTGTAGGCAGTAAACAGTTTCTCCCACTTTTGTCTCCCTTTGACTGATTTTGGTTTCAAATGTATTTTGCCCCCAGGATTTTCACCCAGAGTTACATATGTGCAAAATATTTTTTAAAAGTATATCAATATGGCTTCTTGTCGTAAGATGCATATGTTGTGTGTGGGGTCACAGGGAAGGCAGTATAGCTCAGACAAGACAAACAGGGACTCTGTGGCATCTTACTACACTGATGAACAGTGACTGCAATAGGGTATGGTGGGGACTTGATAATAAGGGTGAATGTAATAACCACATTGTTTTTCATGTGTATATCAATGATACCTTAAAAAAAAAAATATGCCTTAAGAGATTGGACTGACATACCTGGTAAGCCAGCTTTCTGACAGCCTCTTTCACATCCTTGGTACGCCCTACAATTTTGGGCAATGTCTTTGCTGATGGTGCAATACATGATAAAACTGCACGCCTAACTTCTGGATTTGAATCATTTTCAATCAAAATAGCATATGCTAAAAATAGAGCAGTACATTTTAGTACATTAAAGAAATATTTAATCACAGTTATGGATAGCCCACATCTTTATATTTAACATCTTTAAAATGATAAAGATAGAATGTTTTAATGTTACACATTTAATTTTAGCTGAAGATTTTTTTCTGCCAACTTCCCTTAAAAAGGACAGAACAAGAAATTAGTCAGTGGATGGGGTATGAAGGCTAAAACTGAAAACAAATAGCCCTAAAGATCATGGAAAATCCATTATTAAGATTATGTCTTCGTTACTCTTTAAGATTTAGAAGAAAGTCTAATATATCAGGCAATTTATTTTAAACTGATATGACTTTACAAACGGCTTATTATTTTGATTTTTAATGAATTCTAAAAAGAAATAACTTCTGGTTTTACTAATTAAAACAAAAGCCATTCCCTGTAGCCAAATGTTTGTTCACTTTACTTCTTAAATTTTCCCCACCTTTATCAAGTATGTGTTTGTCTATTAGTTTTATACAAGTTATGTGTATCATTTAACACCAAAAAATATCAATATCACCAGTTATCAAAACTGATTACATGTAATATTGTATATCAACTATATTCCAATTTTAAAAAGTGATCATAAAGCTTATAACAGTAAGAGAAAAAATGAAACAGAAGAGTACCTGAAATAGACCTAGGTATATTTGGAAAAGTGGAATATAACAATCTTTATGAGTCTAGAGGCAGAGAAAGATTTCTTAAATAAAAGAAAATGCAAATAATGAAGAGGTTGATAATTCTGACATTAGGAATTTCTGTTCAACAAAAGACATTCCAAAGAGAGTGAAATAATAAGCCACCTAAAGAAGGAAAAGATCTACAATTCATATAAACAAAAGATTTCTCTTCAAAATATATAAAGTTCTCCAAAAAATCAGTAAGACAAACCAACAGGAAAATGGGCAGAACACATTAACAGGCATTATATTGAAGAAATATAACTGGTTAAGTATATGAAAATATGCATAACAATATATGCACAATCAGATTAACAAAAATTTAAAAATCTGACAATACCAAACACTGCTGAGGATATGGATTAATGAACACTTTTATGCACTGTTATTGGGAATATTAATTGGTAAATGTTTTGTAGAACATGTGTATCTTATCTAATGAAGCCCAATGCACACATATCCCAACAAATCCACCCCTAGGTATACACCCTAGAAAAACACTGTAACCTATGTACCAAAAGCCATGTATAAGAAAGTTCATAGCAACAAGTTTTTTAGGAGCAAAATAACTGGAAACAACTAGAAGATCCATCAACATTAGAAATAATAAATTGTGTTACATTCATATAACAGAATGTTATAAAACAGTAAATAAAATGTATCAACATCAAAGTTAAAATTGGAAATATTAAGAGCACAGAAAAATACATTTTATATAACAAATAAAATGAAAGACAAAAATTACTATTAGAGATACACACATGTGGTTAATTGTTTAAACAAAAAGGCAAGAAAATAATTACCTCAAAATGCAAGATAATTGTTAACTCTGAGGGAAAGTGATGTAATTGGGGTGGGGCATAAAACAGGCTTCAAAGGTATTGATGCTCTATAGCTTTTTAAGTTGAATGGTGGCTACTTGGGTATTTTTTAAAACAGGCTTCAAAGGTATTGATGATGCTCCATAGCTTTTTAAGTTGAATGGTGGCTACTTAGGTATTTTAAAAATTTTATATATGTATATAAAACCTATAATCTCCCATATGCGTATATAACTAATTTAAAAAAACTTATCTACTGAGAACTTAACAAAGTCAAGGAAACTGAAAAAAGGATTTAGAAAGCTACACATACCATTAACCACTGGGCATTCATCATCTTTGGGATCCTGAAGTCGTGAAAGAGCCAGAACTGCCTGTATCCTCACATTTGGAATTTTATCTTTCAATCTAATAAGCATGGCTTTATTAATTTTATCAAACAAATCATCATCAATCTGGGAATTTTCTGGCATACTTCCCAAGAGTTTGTTTATGAGTTGGCACACTCTAAATCTAACAGCACTGCTGTTTGCTTCATGAGACTGAAATAGAAACAAATCAAAATTTATTCACAATCATATACCATTATTACTAAATAATAGCATTACCATTTGAATTTTATATGCTTACAATTAAAGAAGTTACAACAGTAAGTCATTGCTTGCAGAGAAACTACACTACCTTGATCCACATGTATACTAAATACACATTTTATAAAGTCTCAAAATATACACAGTCCAAAGTAAGTATTTGCTAAATTACAAGAGTGTATTTCTTTCTGTTGGTTGGATATCTTACTTCTAAAAGAGAGAATTCATTTAAAACAAATGTATGTAAGAAGTAGCTTAGAGAGATCATTAAAAATTTAATGCAGGAGTTAATTTAAAAGTCTACCTTTTAATCTCAATGACAGTTCTAATACTTTCTATAAAAACCCATTCAGACATTTTCTCAATTACCACATTAAACTGTACAAATTCCCACAGCCCTTTTAACATAGTAAATTTTTCTGAGCTACTCCCCCAAAGTTCTAATTTTCATAATACCTTTAACAGAAAAGTAAACAAATAATTTAAAATGCCACCATCCTCCTCCTCCTCATTGTCCGTATCTGATTGGTGAAACGAAGTAACAAACTTTGCGGCAAATTCTATCACCCTCTCCACAGTTGGTTCACGTTTATAGACCACCATAGCATATTTAAGGTAATGAACGAACTCCTCGTGAAAAACTGTTTTATCATCCATCTGCAAGACAAAAGAAACCCATTCAAACTGCCTGATAAAGTCCTCTTTTCTCAACATTGCCGTAAGACTGCTGAAAGCACTAGCCGTAACTCAAACTAAAATCATCACTTAGTCAACTCTCAACCGTCCAAACCCTCGAAGGAGAGATAAATTTGCATTCATTTCTCTCAAAAAAATTTACTTCTTCCAGGAAGAAAACAAACATGAATTTGACAATAAAGGGATTCCTTTTTTTGTTTGTTTTAATACCCATGAATTCTCAATATGCCTTGGTACCAGTGTAGTAAAAATATCAAAAATCAACAGTGGCTTTTATAGTTAGCCTTTGACATAACTTCCACATACTATCTCATATCCTCCAGTCCCATGATGATGACTTACAATTTTTCTCGGACCTCAAGTTAATTTATTTTCCCAACACTCATTGTCCTATTCTTCCCGCGGCTCCATTCAAAACAAACCAAGCAGTATTTACGTGAACAGGAAGAACCGGGCCCTCAGGATTAATTTACTGTTTGGTGACTAGATTCAATGTAACCGTGGGGAGAGGTTAAAATAATTTGTTGGCGTTCCCGACGTGGGCGGCGACCGGAGGAACAACATCGGCTCAGCGCCGCGATCGGCATCCACCCTGCGGCCACCTCATCTAGACGATAGTAAACGTTTCTCTCCAAATTCACCGCCCGACAAAGTACTAACGGTCCGCGCGCGAGGCCGCCGCGGAGAGGGAGCGCCTGGGCGCCCTCCCGCAAGGCGCCAGACCTCTCCGAACCACGCGCGACGGTAACGGAGATTGCTGAGCCGTGCGCGGAGTCCGGAGGGTCACTGGCGGCCCCTGTGGGAGGCTAGTTCGGCGAGCGAGAGGGGCGGCGGCGGAGGCTGGGCCCGGGGGCGGCCGCGCTTACCGTGCGGTAGGTGCGGCTCAGCGCCACCACGAGCTTCGCCAGGTTCTGGTGCGGCTGCTGCGCCAGCTGGAAGGCCTCCTTAATGGGCAGCATGCTCTTTGCCCCCATGGCGCCTGGACTCGGCTGGGACCAACCCAGTTCCCGGTCGGCTGCAGTCCGACTGACCACTGGCTGAGGGTCCACAGAGATCCCGCTGGATCCGACCCGCCAGCAATCCAGAGCCCAGGGCGGGGTTACCGCCCCAGCGTTCAAATAACTCCCGCGGGAGAAGGAAATACCGCGAGACGACCGCGAGAGCTCAGAGAGACAACGGGAAGAGATAGAGCTACCCTGAAACCCCGCTACTTGGGCGCATGCGCATAGGGTCTATCCAACAGTTTTCTGGGTGAAAAGTGGCGTTTCGAGGAGGAGGAGGAGGAGGCAGTGTTGGCGTGCCCGGTAGTGGTATCGGCCTGGAGGGCGAGCGGGATGGCGGTGCCGCTGTCGGGGGACAGCTGCTGGCGCTAGGCCTAACCGAGGCGAGCGGCTTTTCCTGAGGCGAGAAAGAAGAAGCGATCCTCCAAGGGTGAGAACAGGGGATCTGCTGAGGGGAACAGTCCCTGCTCCAACTGAAGGGGGAGCAAGGGACCCCGGGAGAAGGGCTTCGTTTGGAGACCCGTCGAGAAGGGAGAGAAAAGCTGGGATGTGCTGGAAGGGCTGGGCACGGGACCCGGCTTCTACACACGGGAAATGTCCGGGTCGCCTGACGGGGACGTTCCGAGGTCTCTGGATAGCGGGCCGCCGTCTTGATAAACCGTAGATCCTCGGCTGGTAGAGGGTCTGCAAAGGAGGCAGGGAGTTTGGGGACCGCTGAGACGAGAGGCACAATTTAATTTAGATACAGCTTGTGCTAGATGTACCACATTTCGAGGCCTGGTTACCAAGGCGCATAACGACGATGTATTCAACAAAAGAGAACACAGAATGGAAAATTGTTTAAGGTGGTGGTTAAGGTAAATTTGGAGTGCCTTCTGGCAGGAACTACGTCTTTAAACTTTTTTTTTAATGGAATTTTGTCAGACAAAAACGAGCACACTAGTATCCACAGAGTCGCCCGTACACCTTTTCTCTGTTAAAGTACCTCCCCTCCCCAGCAATAATGGATTTGATGAATTTGCTGTTAATTTATGTATTAACGACAGGTAAGTATGTAAATAAAAACACATTGTTTTCATGGGCAAGCATTACACGAATTACCATATGCAGCTTGCTTTTTAAAATCGCTATTGTTTTTGAGTTTAATTCATACTGATACTTTTCACAATAACTTAGACTTATGGACCCGTATGTGCCAGACACTGTTCTAAGCACTTTACTTCAGTAAGGTTAACTTCTCTCTCCTTTTTAAGATGAGGAAACTGAGGCACAGACAATTCTCTGTAATTTTCTACTGTAGGAATATGCGATAATTTATTCATCCATTCTCTTCATACTCCTAATTCCTGAAACATAGGTATTCAAATGCTAGTTAAAATAATGTGGTAGCTTTTGGGTTGCCCATAATTTCGAAGTTAAACAGATGTCTAATTCTGGAAAGGCAAAGGAGGTTGAATATTTTAGGTTTATTATCTAGAGCAAAAGCATAGAGGCCTAAGAAGGCATGGGGTATATACTGCTAAATAACATTTGTAATCTCACTATAGCTAAAATATAGAATGCCTCTGGAGAAAGAATCTAGAAAGGGCATTAATTTTTTGACCAAGTATATCCAGAATAGTTTCAACATATAATCAACATAAATTATTTATGAAAAATTTACATTCTTTTTTCCCCCCCGACTTTATCTTTGGAATTGGGTATTACTTTATACTAAGCACATTTCAGGAGCTTACTAGGCACATGGGACTAGTGGCTGTGGTACTGGACAGTGCAGAACTATTCTTACTTTGGGAATCCCCATGTGTTTTTCATGTAAGGTCAGCTGGTAAACTAAACATAGAACAAACTAATACTTGGAGGCATTTTTCTTACTTTTTGGCCTTTAATTGCGCAGCTCCCTTTATGCTTTGGGTGCCTGTTACCTTTGTTGCTTTGTTTGACTTTGAAATTTCTATTATTTTCTTTAATGTGTTTTATTTGGTTATCTCACCACAAATGAGAGAGAACTGCGTATCATTTTGTCAGTTACTGAAGGATGAGGCATTTGGCCACCAGAGGTCAGCATCGCTATATTTTGATTGGCTTTAGGATTAATAACATGTTTTGATCAGTATTTCTTGGACATTATAGTCTGGGAAATAAAAAAGGTGCTAGATTATGAAATGAAAAGACAACTTTTGGAATTGGAGAAAATATTTGCAAACCATGTACGTGTAAGGGATTAATACCCAAAATATAAAAGGAACTTACACAATAGCGGAAAAGCAAATAACATGACTAAAAAAGGAGCAAAAGACCTAAATAGACATGTTTCCAAAAAGACAAAGAAGGTCAACAGATTTTTAAAAGGTGATCAACATCACTAATCACCAGGGAAATGCAAATCACAATCACAGTATCACCTCACACCTGTTAGGATGACTTACAAAAAAGTCAAAAGATAAGTATTAGCAAGGATGTGGAAAAAAAGGAACCCTTATACACATTGGTGAGAATGTAAGTTGAGACAACATTATAGAAAACAGTGTGAAAGTTCCTGAAAAAATTAAAAATAGACCTACCATATGATCCAGCAGTCTCACTTCTGGGCATATATTCAGAGGAAATGAAATCGGTATTTCAAAGATATATCTGTACTCCCATGTTTATTGCAGCATTACTCATGGTAGTCAACATATGGAAACAACCTGAATGTCCATTGATGGATGAATGGGTAAATAAGATAGTGTGTGTGTGTACACACTGGAATACTATTCAGTCTAAAGACAGAAGGGAATCCCTGCAATATGCCACAACATGGGTCAACCTGAAGGATATTCTGTTAAATGAAATAAACTAGATGCAGAAAAATAACTGTCAAAGATAGAAACATTCAGTTACAAGATGAGTAAGTTCTGGAGACCTACTGTGCTGTAGTTAATAATGTATGTATACTCGAAATTTGCTCAAAGAGTAGATCTCAGATGTTCTTACCACACAAAAATAGGTAAGTAACTGAGGTAATGGATATGTTAGTTAGTTTGATTTTGGTAATCATTTCACAATGAATACATCAAAACATCACGTTGTACATGTTAAATATATACAACTTGTCAGTCCAAAAACCTGATAAAGAAGATGCTATATGAACTTAAGCAGCAGTCTCACAGCCTTAAAGCTTACCAGTTTCTTGATTTTGCTGTCAATGCTTTGGGAAAAAAAGAATAAATAATGGCAACAATGGGGATAAACTGACCTTGGTAAACTTTAGTTAAAGAAATTGCAAAATAATTCATATGGTAAGCCCATTAAGTTCCAAATTTTCAAAAGAGATCATTCTTGAAAATTAAATTATACATTGGAATATGTAGAATAGGTGTGGTTGATTCAGTTTTGATACAGGAAAATATGCACATGGAATGTAAAGGAGTAACAGTGATAGGTTCATTCTAGAATTTACATATGCCTTCAAAGAGACTTTCTTGTTTCTGCCAAAAAAGTAGAGTGGGCTGTTTAAAGAATGCTTTGAGTAACATAACTCAAGTATAGCCCATTAATAATCTTGCAGATAGAATCTGGTTGAAATGAAAACAGTAAAAATAAAAGAGGACAGAAGAATTAAAAGTCAGCCACTCCTCCTGTCTCAATAAAATAAGCCTTGTGGTACATTCCGAATTTTCTGTTTGTTTTCAGGTTGAACTAGATAATAATATTATAAACTTAAAAATATTTGCATTCATACATCTTTTTAAAGATGAAGTTATAAGCAGTTGCCTTTAAATTGCTTTAGTAGCTTCATTTTTGTTGGTTCTGCTTTAAAAAAAAATTGTTTCATTCATCTTTGTCCAACATACAACCAAATCACCTGAATATAGTTTGGAAATTTTTGTCTCCCTAGGCTAAAAGTAGAACATACTTGTATAGTTATTTACAGCAGACCTTTGTCATTCTCATTCTTTCAAAAAATTTACTAAGCCACTAAGGAACTGAGTTACTGACATAAAGCCAAAAAGCCACACCATATGACATTAGCAGAACTCAGTGTGTATTTGAAACTAGAGATGTTTACTGACATTCATTTTGGATATCACTCCTACAGAATGGCACAAATGGGCTGGATTTATTTTTTGCTTTTTTCATTAGAGCTATGCCTTAGTCCATCTGTGTTGGCTCTGTACCTTCTAATGTGCTTTGACCACATTTTACCTGGCCAATCCTCCAGTGGTAGAAACCTAGAATGCTTCTAACTCTTTACCATCAAAGATGAAGCTTCAGAGTGCATGTAGTCTTACGGAGAATTTCTTTACTGTGTATACCCAACATCATTACTCATGAGAATTGCTGGATCATGAGATATGTGCAGTTAGTTTGGTTAAGTAGTGCTGACAGATTTTGCTCTTGAGAAGGGGATACCCTGGTTTACCGTCCTGCAAAAATAAGGGATACCCTGTTTTTGTAAGTGAAATTAGCCTCTGCTTTTCTTAGTTGGTTCACCTCTGGATCTCGAATTAATATTTTATCGTCCTAGGGGTTCCTTTAGTCTCCTCACTAATACTTAGCATTTCCCAGCTTTCTAATTTTTACCAAACTAATAGAACAATTTGTTGATTTTATGGTTAATGGCCTGTGGATTTTCTCTTCTGTAAATTGGATAGTTCTGTCTTTTGCCCATTTCTTTAATACTGCTACGTTTTTTGTTGGTGGTCTGTAGTTAACTTTGTTCTTAATGTCTTTAGTTCATTCCAGAAATGACTGGTTTTTTATGTGATTGAATTCATCATTTTTTGGTCTTGTGCCTTATATTATTTAATTTAAGAAGTCTTTCCCTGGCCCTAAATCACAAAGATATTCTCCCGCATTGTATTCCATTAACTATGTAGTTTTACCATTCTCATTTAGGTCTTCACTCCATCATGAGTCCTCCAATGTAGTGGCATCATAAGTATACAGTTTTATTTTTCTCCTATACTGAGGCAGTTTTACCAATATTATGTCTTAAATGCATCCATTCCCCTTGATTTATTTGCTAACTTTATCTTCTACTGCATTCCAAAATTATATATGGCTCTGTTTCTGAGCTTTGTTGTTTCACTGGACTACTTGT